CACTGCCCTGCACGAGGGCCTGACAGCTTTGCTGGAGACCTGGCTGGTGCCACCAGCTGTGCCACCACCTTCAGCAGAGCCTTTCCCTCCCCCTGTGCCACAGGAGGCAGCCAGGGCAGCTTCCCTGCATCCAGAACCTTCTCCTGCTCCTGTCCATCCATGGGCACTGCCATCCCAGGGATCTCCCATCCCAGTCCAGCTGTGGTCAGGGGGCACAGCACCAAGTGCACAGCACAGGCTCAGTGTCCCCTCAGCCTGGGGACAGCTGCAGTGAGAAGCCTCTCCACGGTGAGGAATTCAAGGAAAGCTGTCAGAATGCCCAGCTGGCTCAGGTCTGGGCCATCCCTGGGGCTGCTGTGCCAACTTCAGGGGTGCCCATGCTCACTGCTCACAGCGGGTGACACCTCAGGGCCTCCACGAGCAGGGTGGGTGCAGCCTGGGTGGGGTTTTTTTTTTTTGGTGTAGCTCTGTTTTGAATTTTTAAGCCAGCAAGGAGTAACACTGAATCCAGCCCAGGAGCTGTTCAGGACACAGGGCAGAGGCTGAATTTCTGCTGTAGCAGCCAAAACCAGTTTGCAGAAGGGCAGCACCCAGTCAGGCCAGCAAGGGAACCAGCTCAGTGGGATGGGAGAGCATCCTCTCTCCTTTCATGTGGCCCTGCCTATCCAAGAGCAACGGGAATTTTCCAAAATAGGCCTCAAATAAAAGAAAAAATAAGATTTCCAGGAAAAGGTAGCCTCTTACAGATTTCATTGTTAGTATTCGTATTGCTATTTTTTTTAAACAGTCCAATGATATATGATTTGTACAGAAGATCTGTTTGTGCCTTATAAGGGTGTCTGTGCACTTTTTATCCTTTTTAAAGCAACTTTTAAAAAGAAAAAAAAAAGATGGGGGGAGAAAACCAACACAGATCAATGGTAGTTTTATAGAATTTTGTGTTCACTGAGAATCCTGCTTTTTATATATATATATACATAAATATATATATATATATATAGGAGTGAGAAAGTGTTTATTTCCATGGATTTCCCCCTCCTCTCCTCCTTAACCTTTGTTTGAAAATTTTAAAAAAGGGAAAAAGGAAAGAAAAAAAAAAAAAAAAAAAGAGATGGGGGAACTCTTTGACCTGCCCCCTTTCCGAGGCAGTTCCTCTCTTGTCGTTACCTTTATGATTCAATACTGTGACCTGTATTATCTTGTTGAAGCTGAATCAGATTTTGGACCTCTGTATTAGGCTTTTCAAGCAAATTTTTTGGGGGGGCCGGGGGAGGGAGGGCATCGCACGAGGGAGGGAGCTGCACCTCTACATGTCAGTGCTCTATAGCCTTGTGTTCAGTGCTGTGTGTTTTCCTTTCGTCCATTTATCTGTTTTCCATGAATATCATTTGACTCGTTTATGAAACAAATAAACCTTTGGCTTGTACAGAGCGCTCCGGAGGGTTTCAAAGAGTTTGGGCTGGGGGTCAGCACGTGTTTGGTTTGCAGAGTGGGGCAGGACTGATTCAGAGGGGCAGAGGCTTCCAAAATAATTTTTAAAAGACACTTTACAAACCTTTCCATGGGCTGGGAGGGTTTCCTGGCTCATGTAACCCTTTAAATCTTTCCAAGTTTGGGGGACAAGGGGGCATTTCAGTGCTACAGAGGTGAAAGAGTCTGGTGGCTCTTATCAAATACCCCAAATTTCTTATTCAATCTCAAGCCAGGCATTTGCCAGCCTGGCCCCTCTCCTGCTGGGGCTGTGGCAGCCAGGGGTGATGCAGACATGGCAGGAGGGCTGATTTTTCTTTTTTTTTCCTTTTTCCTTTTCCCTTTCCTTTTCCCTTTTCCATTTCCCTTTCCATTTCCTTTCCCATTTAATATTTTTCCTTTTCCCCTTTCCATTTCCTTTTCCTCTTCCTTTTTTCTTTTTCCTCTTCCCTTTTCTTTTCCTCGTCCTTTTCCCTTTTCCTTTTCCCCTTTCCTTTTCCCTTTATGTAGAGTAGAAAAATTCATTCACAACTCCACCCTGGCCAGAGCTGAGTGTTCACACAAACCCCTCACTCGCTCCAGGCACTGAAGGAGTTTGACAATTGATGCCAAAACACCTTTTTGGACATTCTGCTGCCCCAGTTTATCCACAGAGCTGATCCCTGGGGCCACCCAGAACCCCCAGAGCCCCTCAGGACAGGCAATGCCTCTTTTTTTCCCTGCATTTCCCCCAAATCACCAAATCCTGCTGTTTTGAACCCAAAATAACAATTTCTACACTCCACTGAGCCATTTGTTGGGACACATCCAAGCTTGGGCACCAAGRAAGACACAAGGAGCTGGCAGGGTCCCCATGAGCCTGGGGACGGACAGACAGACCCCAAAACCAGCCCTGGACAGGAGAGCAGCACCCCAAAATTCCACCAGCCACACACACATGGGTTCACCAGGGTGCTTGAAACCAGTCAAGCAGTTTCTTTTTATTTCTTAAAAAAGGAAAACAAAAGAAAAAAAAAACAAAAACAAAAACAAACCCAAACCCCAGCAAATAAAAAAAAGAAAAATCCAGCCCTTAAAGGTGAACATATAGACAGGGCATGGACACAGCTACATCTACCTTCTGCTTCCCCCCACCCCCCAGTAATGRAGATTTATACATTTATAATAATATAGAGACACATGGACAAACACAGGGGCTTTGGGAGCCTGGCAGGAGCCGGGCACAGCGGGGTCGGTGCCCAGCCTGGATGGCCCCAAATCCCAGCTCTCGTGTCCTAAACCGTGACAATGCCCCCCTGGCCACAAACCCCAACCTCGGGGCTGCTCTGGGAGGCTGGGCTTTGGCTGATGGGGTGCTGCCCCCCGAGTTTGGGGTGCCTCCCCCGAGTTTGGGGTGCTTCCCCCGAGTTTGGGGTGCTGCCCGCGGGTTTAGGGTGCTGCCCCCCGAGTTTGGGGTGCTGCCCCCCAGTTTGAGGTGTTGCCCCCCAGATTAGGGCGCTGCCCCCTGAGTTTGGGGTGCTGCCCCCGAGTTTGGGGTGCTGCCCCCCAGTTTGGGGTGCTGCCCCCCAGTTTGGGGTGCTGTCCCCGGGTTTGGGGTGCAGTCCCCGAGTTTGGGGTGCTGCCCCCCAGTTTGGGATGCTGCCCCCCGATTTGGGGTGCTGTCCCCAGTTTGGGGTGCTGCCCCCCAGTTTGGGGTGCTTTTGGCCACCCTCCTCCTCCTCCCGAGGTAGTCAGGGAGCTCGGCCATGCGTGAGGAACGGGAGGAGAGGCAGCCTGGCCTGGGGCAGGACTGGGGACACGGATCTGGGGACAAAGCCCTGCCAGCCCAGTGGCTCCTGGCATCGTCCCCAAGGCAGCTTGGCCAACCCACGGCCCCCTGGCAGACMGGAGGGTGGCAAAGGGGTAAGGCTGCGGGTGTGGGCACCTCCCGAGGTGATCCCTCCTCTGGGAAGCTCTTTGGGAAGCGGGCAGCGATCCCGTCACGCTCAGGGAGCCAAATACAGTACTTGTGTTGGGAAAAGGGAGCACCAGCGGCTCCGAGGCTCAGCTGGGAGGGGACAGGGGACAGCCCTCGCTCAGAGCCCCGGCCACACAAACAGCACAGGGCAGAGCCGGGGCAGGGAGGCCTCTGAGACAGAGCAGGAGACACTTCTGAGATTAAAAGGCCATTGAGCAAAGGCAGAGCAAGGGCAGTGCCTGGGAAAGGCAGCCYTTCCACCCTGTGTCAAGAGCAGGGATCCACGTCCAGCCCCTTCCCTGGCACTGCGGGAGCTGGATGGGGCTGGGCAGCAGCTCTGGCTTAACTCATCCYRTCCCCACTCCTCTCCAAAGCAGAAAGGATGGATTGGAGCTCAGCAGAGCTCTCCCAGCCCACCCTGCAGCTCTCCCGGGAGCAGAGCAGCCCCTCCCGACTGCCACCAAGGAGCTTTGTTATTGCACTGGGTTGCAAAGGCGCGTTCACTGCCAGCTCAGGTGAGTCAGCCTGAGCAGGGGATGATGTGCCAGCGGAGAAAACCGCAGCTGGGAGGGAGAGCAGTCAGCCACAGGCCGGGCTGCCTGGATTCCCACGGCTAAAAAATGAATTTTGGGGCTTGTGGATGTGATGGTCAGGAGTTCTCTGTCAGATCAAGCTGCCCCAGCACTCTCCCAGGACGATCCCAACAGAGGCACCGCTATTTTCTTCTGTGTGTAGACAGAGGGGTCTCCAACTCCACATTTTCAGGGTAGAAAATATCGGGTGGAGAAGGAATTGAGCATCTGTGGGAGCAGAGAATGCTCCTTTGATTCAGCCAGCCTCAAATCTGAGGGGAAACTGCCATTATTTCCAGCAGCAAAACCATTTGGCTGCATCACTCACACTTGGACCAGAGAGGAAAACAGGGCTTGGTCAACACCAAAGCTGACCCTGCCTTGGCAGAGGGGCTGGGCTGGATGATCTCCAGAGCTCCCTTCCAGCCCCCAATAATTCTGTCATTCTGTGAAATCCACAGACAGCCGGGTTTAAAGCTCTTCTGCAGAGAAAAGCAGCCCTGAAGCTGCAAAAAGCCAAGGGCAGAAATGAAGAAAGCAGCACAGGGGGACAAGAGCTCATCCRTGCTCATCCTCCCGCTGGGATCAGCAGCACTGTGGGCACGATCCAGCCTAGCAGGCAGCAATGCCAGCGTGGAAAAACCCAGCCTGAGCCTGCCCGGGAGCCCTGGGAGCYGAGCCAGCCCACAGGGTGAAATGCAAGTACCTGGAGGGTGGCAGGGGGGTGACACAACTCCCGAGGGGCGAGCAGGAGGAGCTGAACTCCCACCTTGCGGATTGCACTTGGATAATRTCAGCACCGAGGGAAGGACCCGCCGCAGGCTGCTGCCGCCAGCCCGGGGAGCTCAGCGGGTCCTGGAAGGGGTGCTCCCCTACGAGTCCAACAGGCAGGGCAGTCTGGGGGGTTGGAGAGCAAAGCATCCCTTTTCCAGGGGTGGTTTTGGTCGTCTGCGCCTTGCATAGAATTGCTCAGCTCTGGAAGCAGAACCCCTCTGATGTCTGCTCGCAGAACTGCAGGGGAGAGGCTCAGGAGCTGTCCTGGATTGGCACAGACAGGACCTGTCCRATGAGTTGGGGGTTTTTCCCTATTTTTTTTTCCAGCAGGAGGATGTTGAAGTCAACACTTGTCATCATGGAGCAGGGAAGGACCAAGGGATGATCCCCGTGCACAGGGAGCAAGGCACGGCCCTTAACCAGGCACAGAGCTGCAGGAGCCTGTTCTCAGCATTTTCTGATGAGATGATGAACATTTGTATGAACATTCGATGTTCTCATCATTCTCATCAAAATAATTTCTCCTTTTTGCCATGTTCCTCGTGGCTCTGGACTAAGCAACGTGACCTGCAACGTTTGACCCTGAGGTTCAGGGAAAGGCAAATCCTGCTGTGATTTCCTTCGTTGGTACCATTCCACCTGGATTTCCATCTAATTCACCACAGGGGTGGCAAAATGTCATCCAAGGTCCTTCTGCCCAGCACAGAGAACCACGGGGGCCACATCCTTGGGGGAAATGTGGGGAGATGGATGGGTGGGAGCACACGGGTGGGGAGGGGAGGCCGAGCTGCCTCCGAGGGGCCCTGGCTGGGAGGTGTGGGATCTCAATTATTCTCTTCCCTTTTAAAGCCAGCCTTACAGAAAACTATAAATTAATCTGCTCATTAAATACTCAGGTGAGAGGCCGGGGAYGGCGCGGGCCGAGGAGCAGCTACGGTTTCTTGCGCAGGTAATTGGAAGGGATCCAGCCCTCCCAGCAYGGCCCCCCGGCCAGCACCCTGCAGAACCACCAGCCGCTGCTGTTCTTCTCCCGAACCTCAAACAAAGTCCCTTCTCGGAAGCTGTTGGTCTCCTCGTCACCTTCGAAATCCGCCACGGCCACGTAGAGAGCTTCCCTGGCCATATCCAGGGCTGAGCTCCTCTCCCTGGGCTCTCCCCTCTCCAGGGGCTTGGAGATGACCTTTGGGGTGATGCTGCTCTTGGCTTTGGCTTCGTCTTGGAGGGCGGCGTTGAGGAAGGGCTTGGCTTTGGGAGGGACCAGCATGGGCCTCCCGGGCGTGGCAGAACCCCTGAGCTCAGGCGTGTCCCGTGCTGGGACCCGCGGCTCAGTGGGGACGGGGACAGGGACAGGGACGGGGACTGGGACGGGGACAGGGCCCCCCATCTTCTTGGGCGGGGGTGGCCTGCGGGGTGGCACCATGGGGCGCTGAGGAGGGGCCTCCCTGGCGCAGGGAGGGCTCGCTGGACCCGGGGCACATTTGGGCAGCGCCTCTTTGGGGCCGTGGCTGTCCAGCCTGGGCAGGGCTTTGCTCTCCACGCCCGGCCGCTCCGGGAACCTGACAGGAGACTCCAAAGAGACCGTGGCATTGCTGAAAGGGCTTTCCCCGGCAGCAGGATCCTGCTCCGAGGCTTTCTCCGGGCACTTGGCCGGTCTCAGCTTGCTCCGCAGGTTGCAAATGTCCAGTCTGTCATCGGCCGGGGGCGGCTCACCGCGGGGGGATGCGGCGGGCTTTGGCCTGATCTGAGGTCTGGACTTTAGGAAAGGGTTCTGGGTGATGGGCTCAGGTTTGTCCTCCACAGGCTCAGCTTTGGGCTTGGCCGGCTTGACAATGGGCCGGAGGTTTGGCTTCTTCACCTCCTTGGCCGACACCTTGTGTCCACATTCCAGCCCCATCTCGTTTTTCAGCTGGAAGAGTTTGGCCTTCTCCGACCTGAGCTCCGGCTTCTTGCCGTCCTTCGGGGCTGCCGACTGCTTGGGTGGGATCATGGGCAAAATCACGCCGGGGGGCTTGGGGGGAGGCCTCTGCCTCTCCAGCAGCTCTCCTTCYGATTTAATGATGGACTCCTTCCTGGGCGGCAGGCTGGGCTTCTCCTCCGTGTCGCGCTCCGAGATCTCCTCGTAGCCCCCGGCGAAGGACAGGTCGCCACCATCGGGGGCCTCCTTGCCCCTCCAGTCCTTGCCCCACCTGCCAGGGCAGTCGGTGCCGTTCGGGGGAGCCTCTGGCAGCGGGCGGCACGGCCCCRTGGGCTCCTCGCTGGCACTGCCATCGGTGTCCCCCAGCCGCAGCTGGGCCAGCTCGTTGGGCAGCGGGGCCAGGAAGTTGGGCCTGGAGGCGTTGCTGGTTTTCTTGTACTTGTCGATGAAGGTGGCAGGGGCCCAGCCTTCCCTCTCCTCGATCTGGATGTACCACCAGCCGCTCAGGTTCTTCTCGATGACCTGGGGGGGAAAGGAGAGCTCAGCCAGGCGTTCTGAAACAACAGCAGGGTGACCTGGGAGCCCTGCCAGCCACAGCCACGGAATCCCAGAGTGGCATCCTAAAGGGAAGGGAAGGGATGGGGCTGAGGGAGCGCTGCTGAGCTGTCCCCATCGCTCCCGGGTCTGGCGGTGGCCACAGCGTGGCACTGTTGGAGCGCCCGACCGGCTGCAAAACCCCAGTGGATCCACTCCATCGTGGATTCCAAGAGAAATCCCAGTGGATTCCACTGCCCAGCAGCCCCAGCAGTGGGGCTGGGGACTGGGAGGGGCAGATTGGGGTGGCCCTGAAGGAAAAATCCTCTTAGAGAGGCATAAATCACATCTGCACACTGAGAAACACAATCACATCTACACACGGAGAACAGAATCACATTTGCACATGGAGAAAAAAATAATATCTGCACACCGAGAAAGAAAATCACATCTGCAGGAGGGGTTCTGCCAGCAAGGAGGGTGTRCCAGGAATTTTGGAAGGGTTTTTAAATTTACACCTGGCCTAGCTAAGAGGAAAAACTCCCATCTCAAACCCCGTTTGCGGGGTGGGTTTATTTTCCTTTTGTTCAAACAGAGCACTCAGACTCGAGAGGCCAAAGTTTCTCGAGCTCCTACAGGTTTTTATCGCACTCTCAGAGCCTGGAATGTTCCCAGAGGCAGAACCATGCCTGGTTTTCAGCCAGAACACCACAGGGAGCAGATGTTCCCAGCGTGGAGCAGGTCCCACGACAGTGGCAGTCAGGAGCACTGCCCTGAAGGTGTCTGAAGGTGACAGTCTCACCTCCACTTTCATTCCTGCCTGGAAGCTGATGCCATCGGGGATGGTGGTCTGGAAATCAGCAATGGTGTAATATTCCTCTTCCACTTGAGGGGGGACGGGAGGCTTYGGGAGGTTCAGCCCACGGGGCTGTGAGAGGGAAGCAGAACAGCCATCAGTGGGTCTGTGCAGCAACTGGGACCCCACAGCCCCCCGAGCCACAGAGGGGACGGGGACAGGATCCCAAAAGTGCTCCCCTCCCACCCCCTGGCACTTACTATGGTGAGGTCTCGGCGTGGAGGTGGCCTCTGCCTCATCTTTGGGGACTCTGTGGAGGAAGAATTCCAGATGCTGTTGAGTTTYTGGCTTTTGAAAAGCGTTCGTGAAAGGTAAGTGACAAACAAAATGGCAAGGCCAAGACCAAACCTGCCCCAAGGCAAAACAACCCGAAGGAGGAACCCATCAGCCCAGAACCCACCAGCCCAGAACCCCAAGGAGCACAGGTCCCCCAGGTTTCAAGGGGATCCCACTGGAAGAGAACCCAGCTTTCAGATTCTCCTGGGAAATGCAGCTGAGGTGACCATATGAAATTGCTTTGGCATTGTGGGACTGACCCAGAGGACCTGGGGGTTAAGATCACAGAATCCCAGGATGGTTTGGGTTGGGAGGACCTTAAAGCCCATCCCATCCCACCCCTGCCATGGGCAGGGACACCTCCCACTGTCCCAGGCTGCTCCAAGCCCCACCTTGGGCACTGCCAGGGATCCAGGGGCAGCCACAGCTTCTCTGGGCACCCTGTGCCAGGGCTCCCCAYGCTCACAGGGAACGATTCCTTCCCCATATCCCATCTAACTCTGTCCTTTGTCACTTTGAAGCCGTTCCCCCTCATCCTCTCCACCTTTCCCACAGGCTTCCTTTCCTCCTGAGAGCAGAACCTCTCCAGCTGACCCTGCAGCCTGGGCAGGGATCCCCATCCCATGTGCTGACCCTCAGCAGGTCCCTGTGTGAGCAGCACTGTCCCTGTGCCCCCACAGCACCCCCAGCCCTCTCTGCACACCCCACAGGCCCTGTGAGTCTCTGCCAGCTCCCAGCCCCTTATTTCACCCAAACCCATGGGGCAGGCTGTGTTTGGAGCCCAGCACTCACTGCGGCGGATGTCGGCGCTGGGCAGGGCTCTGCTGTCCACTCTGCCATCCCTGGGTGTCCCCAGGTCCCTGCTGGCCAGGACCTGCTGCCGGGAGATGCCATCCAGCTCCAGGGCACTGCAATGGGCTGAGGAGCCCAGCTTCTGCGGGAAACCGTCCCCATTGCCCTTCCTGAGGTAGGAGGCAGGAGCCCAGCCCTCCTGGCCCTGGTACCTGTGGGGACAAGGACAGGGAAAAGGACAGCAGTGTCACTGCAGAGCCCCCGGGAGCTCACACAGCCTGCAGCCGGGGTCAGGATGCGCTGTGGGCAAAGGAACTGCCCGCTCTGGGCACTGGGGGATTGCCAGGATCTGCATGGCACCAGGAGAGCTCCCTTCATGGCCAGAGCTGGACACAAGCTGGCCCAGCCAGGGCACAGAGCTGGGAATGCTGTGAAGCCCTGGGAATGCCGTGAAGCCCTGGGAATGCCACGAAACCCTGGGAATGCCCTGAAACTCTGGGAATGCTGTGAAGCCCTGGGAATGCCATGAAACCCTGGGAATGCCCTGAAACTCTGGGAATGCTGTGAAGCCCTGGAAATACCCTGAAACCTTGGCAATACCCTGAAGCCCTGGGAATGCCATGAAGCCCTGGAAATGGCATGGAGCCCTGGGATTGCTGTGAAGCCCTGGGATTGCCATGAAGAACTGGGAATGCTGTGAAGCACTGTGCTCACTTCAGCAGTGGCACCAGCTCAGGAATGAAATACTCTGGCCTGGGAAGCAAAGGGAAAAACCAAAGGGCTGCTGCTGGCACTGATGGACCTGGAGAAAGCACAAGGCCTCTCCCTGCTGGCAGCCTGGAGCCCTTCCCTGCTCTGRATCTGTTCAGGACAGACACCAGCCCCGTGCCCTGACTGAGAAATCTCATCCACAGCACCCCTGCCATGCCAGACATGCTCCCCGCTGGCTGAGCTGCAGCCACATCGCTCAGATGGCACCAACTGCTGAGCCTGTGATTGCCATCAGCGCTCCTGTGGCATCTCCCCTCTGCCTGAAACACCCCGGATATGTTTTTGGGGCTGTTCTGCTGCCAGGAGCATGGCTCCAGTGGAAGGTGAAGAAAATCACAGTGTGGGCTGTGCAAGCCYGGCTGTTTGCTCGGCCACAGAGAGGAGAAAATGAGCTTGCAGCAGAAAAAAACCCTCATCTGGGGATGGTCTGGAGCCTTGGGCTCAGCACACCCTGCACACCCGGCCCAGAGGTGGCTGTGCCCTGCAGGAGCCTCCTCCACAGCCAGAGGGTCCAGGACAGACAATGTCCTGTCACACCCAGCAAGGGGAGGTGGCTCTTGTCCTCCTGACCCCACCKTGGGCATCAACCCCAGGGCTCACAGCTGTTCCAGGAACCGAGGCAGCAGTTCCATTAATTCTGCATGTATGTACCAGAGAAAAGCACAAACTGCAGCTCCTGAGCCCTGGGACACTCAGGGTTCTCCTTTCAGCAGGGTGGGATGGAACTGCTGCTCTCACACCAGAGTCCCTGGCACTGCTGGGTGACACAGTCCCAGCACAGGAAATCAGAGCATTTCCAAGATTTCCAACCAAAGCTGTGCTTGAACATYGGATTTGTCAGGATGGAGAGAAATGAACTGTGGTTCTCTGCGCTCCCCAGCTCCCAGATTTGCCTTTGGGTCAGACACCCCACAGCCTGGGCCAGTACCTGATTTTCCACCAGCCCTCCAGGTTCTTCTGGATCACCACCACCACAGCCCCTCTGTCCAGGTTCATTTCATCCTGGTCTCTGGCTGTGTAGGGGTAAATCACCGTGTACTTCTCTTCTGTTGAAGAGAAAGAACTGTTTCACAGAGGCACTGTTCCATGGAAACCTGGCCTCAGCTGAGAAATGGCTGTGAAATGCTTTMTATAAWTGATAATTCCTGTAATTTAGGTGAWAACACACAGAGATACCATTCAAGGAGAAATGACAGTGAAATGTATTTGGAAATGTGAGCTTTGGTGAGCTGCTGTGGTCAAGGAGTTCCCTAAAACAGTTCCTCCTCTTCCTCATGACCAAAGAYTTTTCACAGCTCATCACAAAAGCTCTTCCATGCATCCAGCTCRGCTCAAATTTCTTTCTCAGRGCCTTTAAAGAGGAACTGTYCTCTCTAAGSGGAGAGAAATCCCAAAGGCATGAGKGGGCAGCCCCATGCACACAGAGATACCCTCACACACAGCTCAAAGTGTTTTTACAGGAGCTTCACCATTCAACCCCAAAGCCATGGGGGCAGCCTGGAGAAGAGCCTGGTGCCCTGTCCAACAGACCAAGGGATGCCAAGCAGGGATATGGATGYTCTTCCCTTCAGGAAGAAGGGCAAACATCCCAAAAGCCATGCAGATGCGAGACAAATGGATCCATCCATCCTCCCCTCTCCCTCACCTTGTCCTGCTCTCTCTGGAGGAAACACAGCAAAGTGATTGCCTTTAGCAGTGCCCAAATAGRGTGAAGCCATTTGGGGAAAAATCTGCCCCCAGAACCCCTCTGGACATCCCCACCATGCAGGTTCCTTGGATTTGTCTTCTGGGGATGGCCCAGCTCTGGCAGGGGCTGATTTCACACCCCCTTTGTGCAGAGGAGTCCCAGCAGAGAATGTCCTGTCACACCCAGCAAGGGGAGTGGCTCTTGTCCTCCTGACCCCACCTTGAGGCATCAACCCCAGGGCTCATGGCTATTCCAGGAACCAAGGCAGCAGTTCCAACAATTCTGCATATATAAACCAGAGAAAGCACAAACTACAACTTCTGAGCCCAAAAGTGAGAAGGAAGAGCTGAGAGAGGAGAGGGATGTGCACATGAGTGGCCTCCTGGCAGGCAGAGGAGCGGCTGTGGCACACTGAGGGCTGACACATGCACAGCAAACCAACACATGCACACAAAGCTCTGAGAACAGCACGGGCCAGCCCAGCCCTGCGTGTCCACCTTGAGCCCATCCACCGGTGCTCAAATCCCCCAGCGTCCGGCGGCGGCCCAGGTGCCGGGGCAGAGACCAGTATCTCCAKGGCACTGGGAACAGCGTGGTGGGGAGGCAGGAGAAGGACAAGAGAGGACGTAAGGAGGTGGCACTTCAGGTCCAGGAGGAGGCAGGGCTGACACTGAGAGCGGGACAGAGACTCTGCTCACCTGGAGCTGTGCCCAGCCTGAGCCCCCCTCCCACCAGACGAGGGGTTGGGCCAGCTCCTGCTCTGCTTGGAGCACCCAGAGTCCCTGGGGAGGATGTGCTATCCAGGGATATTTTGGGTGTGCTCCAAGGACAGGCTGGAACCTGGCTGTTCCCACCGAGGAGCTCACGTGCTGCCCAAGGACCTGGGCTTTGCTCCTCCTTGTCCTCCAGGGCAGGTAAAACAKCTCCCTGGGCCTGAAGGAGGCACTGGGGTGAGCATTCCTGGGAGAGGACACCTTCAGCCCCGCAGTGGAGGAGCAGAGAGGCCGGTGGATCCACCACCAGTGTGGTGCTGCAGCACTGGAGCCCAGCAGGGCCATTCCTGGGGTTTGTCCCTTTCCYCAGGTYTTGTTCTGGGTTTTTCCTYCCCCAGCCTCGTGTCCTGCCCCAYTCAGGGAGGGTGCTGCAGTGCTCCYGTGCAGCTCAGCAGGAGGAACCTCAGGCAGATKCTTCCAGCAGCTCCTTACCTCCATCAGGCTGCATGGAGAGCTCATCCTGAACTCCATCCTGCGCCTCCAGGCAGGTCGCTGGCACCCAGCCTTGCTCCTCCAACGTGCTCACAAACCACCAGCCTGAGAAGAAAACCAGCAGGTGGCTCAGCCAGGGGCTCATAGCAGCCAAAACCTCCCTCCCTCCCTCCCTCCAAACCGTGAACCTGGGGGGCTGTGATCCCTTCTGGTGACCCCAAAGCAACAGAGCCAAGCGCTATCCAAGCACAGAGAACCGCAGCTGAGTGACATCTGAAAGGACAATTCCCCCCCCAGAAAAATGGGAGAGGCTCTGGGAGCTGAATGGCTCCAGCCACCGCATTTGCTGTCGGTTTTTTCTGCCCCTTCATGGTTCATTTTCCCTCAGTGTGGGTCAGCAGGCTCGGGCTAATTAGCAGAGATGAATACCCTGCGTGTGAATCGATAGCCGAGTCCTGCTGCACTCGCCTCCTTTACATTTCTGCAAACAGCAAAATTGAAAAGCTGCGAGCAAAGGCAGGGTTTAAAGCATCAGCTCTGCCAGGGGAAGCCCAGGCAGCTCCAGAGAGGCCACAAGCAATTCTGGGCCACCCTGTGTGTCCAATCAAAACCAGCACACGCTCCTCGTTATTAAAAGCACAATTTGTGTCTTCGGGGGAGAAATAAAGACTGAGTGTTATCCTCAGAACCCCACCAGCGAGTCATTTAGAAAGACAACTGGGTTGTTGGGGAGGGAATCAGCTACCTGCACGGGAGGGAAAGCCAGGGCTGCCCTTCGATAAATAAATGATTTTCCCCAGCGTTTGAGCTGGCTGTGCTAATCGTTTCACTGGCTTCAGGGTTGCTTTTATTTTTCTCGTGCTCCAACAGAGCTGCTGGTGCAACTGATCCTCTGGGGACCAGCTCTCYCGAATGTTAACATCTATTTTCATGGTTTATCTTGAACTCCCTGCAACAAGCACCTTCTGTAAACCTGGAGGAATAAATGCTCCACAAGCTCCAGAAGCGGGGCCCACAGCATGGCTCTGTCCCTTTGCAGAGCTTSAGAGCAAGGTCAAGGTTTGCAGCAAGCGAAGAGCTCAGCTGCCCACCCACAGGAGGGCACAAGGGGGGCTTTCATGGGCACCACGAGTGTCCCCCTGTGTCACCAAAACAAGCCTGCCAAGCTCAAGGGTGGCTTTTGTCCTCAGCACATATCACTAAGTTTTTGAGCACAAAGAAGCAGAAAATGGAGATTGAGGAAGGTGAACGGCACGGGGATGATCAGAGCCTTGTCCACACTCAGACAGCCCAAAGCTGCTTCCTCCACACCCCATCTCGGCTCCCCAGCCCTGGGGGATGCTTTGCTTAAGGAAAACACCGACACAGCAGGATTGCTGCTGCTGCCCCTGCTCTCACCCCGCCGGCGCCAAGCCCAGCTCGCTGTACCTGATTCGTTCTTCTCAATGATCTCCACCACCTGGCCCACGCACAGGCTGATCTCCGAGCTCTCCTGCTTCTGGTAGTCGGCCACCACGACATACTGCTCCAGCACCAAGGGCTCGGCCGAGGCACAGTCCGCTCCTGCACAGGGGGACAAGAACCCGCCCGTGTGCCAGGTGAGCACAGCCCCGGGGCACGGCCACCGAGCAGCTCCAGTGAGCACAGACTGGGGCGGTGAGGGGGACAGACACCAAACCAGCAGCCAGGTGAGGGGGGACAGCCAGGTGAGACCTTTTGGTGCTGCCCACAGAGCCACCCGAGCAGCCCCACCACCGGGAGCTCGCAGCAGCCTGCGGTTTAGGGACCCTCSTGTGCACAGCAGCTGCCCCAAAGCACGGGGCAGATCAAAACACAGAGCCTGCAGTGGGTTCTGCTGGGCTGAGGAGCCCCAACACAGCCCTGGAGGGGTTTGGAGGACAGGGCAGCATCTCCCATTGTCACAGCCCCGCTGCGCTCWGTCCCCTCGGTTTGCGCTGCTCCCTGCCCCGCTACTCCTGCTGCACATCCTGGCAAAAAAAAAAAATTTGGGAAAAAATACCCCGAGGAGCGGCAAAGGGGGCAGGACACACCGGGAACAAAGCGTTCCTGTGGCCAGAAAGAGAAAAACCGGGAGCGGCGGGATCGCCGGGAACGGAGAGGAACAGGCGGCAGGTGGCACTGCGGGATAAGGCCGGGAAAACCGGGACACCGGGGACACTGAGCGACACAG